AGTGTGAAATGTATGTTTACACATTTACAATTATGCTCCCAATATTTAGATTAGGATTGACATGTGATGAGAAATTAGTTTTAGAGGTGACAGAAAAGACAAAAATAGGTTTGACTGATTAATATGGAAATAGTGTAACCTATGGATACATTATTGCTTATTTATTATTGACAAAAGCTCATTTACTATAAAGCCTTCAGGAATACACATCTGTTTCCTTAAAAAAGAAAAAGAAAGGATGAAATATATTTTTAGATCAGTGATTTTTAAAATCCCAGGTTGGTATTTTTTCTCTGCAATGTTTTCTATTTGGAAACTAAAAATATGAAATTTCTCTATCGCACAAGTTGCCAGTATGTTTAAGAGCACATCTAAAAGAAATCAACGCTTCCGTCTAGATCTGAAATGAGTTTTTCGATCCTTTGAAATGAAACATTAAGGAAAACTATAATAAATTATAATTCAATACAATAAACCAGCATTGCAAAAGTTTTACTTATATCAATGAAAACATATAGAGACAACCCAGCTTACCAGCCATTGGAGCCCACACTTGCTTCTCTGTTTTCCAATTCCTTTGCTTTTTGGTGCCTACCACATAATTACATCTTTTTATGTGTTTATCAGACTATTCATTCATTGTTTTCATGACACTATGCGACACTGTAGTGAACCAATATAACATTAAAATATTTTAGCCCTGGCTGGTTTGGCTCAGTGGATAGAGCGCCGTCCCTTCGACTGAAGGGTCCCGGGTTCCATTCCGGCCAACAGCACATACCTCGGTTGCAGGCTCAATCCCCGGCCCTGGTTGGGGCCCCTGTTGAGAGGCAACCAATCGATGTGTCTCTCTCAAGTTGATGTTTCTCTCTCTGTATCTCTTCCCCTCCCTTCGACTCTCTCTAAAACTCAATGGAAAAATATCCTGATTGAGGATTAACAATAGCAAAAAAAAAAAGAAAGAAAATAAATATTTTCACATGTCCACTCTTATACATAAATCAAGACCTCTGCCTGCGGCTCCTTCCTTGGGCAGAATATAAATTCCTGTGGAGAGGAGCCGTGTTTTCTCATTGATGGCACTGCAGGTCTGCCGGTTCTATAAGACACAGAGTTGGTCATGAAAGCGAGGTTCCTTTCTTCCCACAAGAAACAGAAATAGCATTTCTACCAAAGCTGTCCACCTGACAGAGGCGGCCGCCTGTGCAGATGGCTCTGCTGAGACACACATGACATCTCCGTGAACGAGACCGTGTTTCCAAGCCAGTCGCTTCGCAATCAGGATGAGCCCCGAGAAAGAGCGCTTATCAATGTAACCATTATCTGTCCATTTGCTATTCAAGGTTATCACCAATCTGATGCATAGCCTATGATCAGAAAGAGATGAGGTAGCTGCACACTTATTTCCTCTGCTTCATCTAATCTCCAGGAAGCCCAACACAGAACAATGGCTGGGATTTTTTAAACGCTAGTGACTGTGGACTTAAATGCAAGATGCTATGCGTCCTGCAAATATAAGATAATTTTGCAATCGTCTGAAAGCATGGACTTCATTAAAAGAACACATTTCCTGGTAGATAGATGTGCCACAAGCAAACTCAATCTCGCATCTCCTATACTTAGACAGAAGGACATTTTTAAAGCTCAGTTAAAATTTAATTGGTCGCTCTGACCTTGAGTGCCACTTTAGGTGAAAAATACCACACCGGTGCTCAGACTTCCTTGAGATTTATGATCTCATGTTCTTGAAAAAGGCCCAGCACCTCCGTGTTCCTGAAATAATTGATCTGTCTCTTCTAAGTGGTATTTTCCTGAATCTAACATCTGATGTCTCAGGAAGAAAAGTACAAACTGATGAAAATACCTCGCTATATTTAAAAAATCCAAAAGAGCTACCAGCATTTGCATCTACCACATTATTACATGTATAAAAAACGGCCAAGATCATAAATTGGTAAACTTCTTAGCACGGAAGACAAGAAAATGTAAACCAAACTGCAAAACCATGGGCAAATATTGTTTATAATGATTAACCACCATCATTAATAAAGAGCAAATGTTTTAAATGTGCTAACGAGACACACTGCAAATCTACAATTCATATCTTTCTCCGTTTGAAAAGAACTCCACAAGGCACTGTATAACTTTTTGAACTTAGCAGTTTTTCTTTCTTTTCTTCTTTATTGTAATCAGAAACACTACTAACTTCATCCAAAACTCTGGACCAACCACGTTACTGGTTCCTCCTCTTAAAGAAAAGCAAAATACCACGGAGGCCATAAGACACGCAGAGAAGACGAGCCAATCTGAAAATTCCCATGATTGTGTACCTTCTAGCTTCAATGGAAATTCAGCATGAAATTCTGGGCCTGTTTGAAAAGAAGTAACTGGCAAGTATGACTGGATCTCCTCCACATGACGAAACGTCCAGTGTGAAATAACATGCTCTACCTCACAGCACCTATAAGAATCGTCACCTCTTAGCATTTACTGCGTACACGCACCGGTGCAAGCGCTTTCACGTACCAGCGCATGTCATGCTCACAGCAGCTCTGTAAGGCAGGCACTGTCATTAGTCTCCTTTGACAAAGGAGGAAGCTGCAGCGCAGAGAGGACACAAGTTGCCCCAGGTCAACTGCAATCAACAGCTAAGGTGGGTCACCAGCCCAGGCAATGTGGCTCGGAGCCACGCTTCCTACAACTGGATATTCCATGTTGCACGAGAGCCAACGCACACAGAAAAATTCTATTCATTCCTCCATTCATTGAAAAATATGTATTAGGCACCTACTATATACAAAGAAGTTCTTGTCCACACAAAAGGTCTCCAGAGAAGATCCACCATTTACCTTTGAAACGGCCCTGAAACTGGGATCTGATGCAGTGGTTACATCTGAGCCCCAAACTATTTAATCACTTTTTTTCTACAAACCCCCACCCCCCAGAGGCCCCAGAGCGCAGTCTGGGTATCGCACTTGGAGGAGTCAAAGAAATTAGCTGGAAGAGAACATTTCAAGGAACTTCTAGGAAAGGCTCTAACAGAAAATGATGCCCCGGGAAGCGGTTTGTCCGTGCAGAGGAAGCCTCGGGTTTACCCGCCCCTGGTTTAGACATCTCGGGAGTAAGACATGTCACGCAGCTGTAGGGACTGCCAAACAGCAGTCACATGGCGACTAACGCGGAGCAAGGTCGTTAGCGAGCGGGGTTAGCTCTGAACAAGGCTTTGCAACTTGCAACAGAAAGAGGCAAAGATACCAAAGACTCTAGACACACACACAATTCAAGGCTGATGTCAGAAGCCACCTACAGGGAGAAGTAGTTGCCATCACATTAGGAGCTATAACACGAAAGGCCATCGACTATTTGCTCTTTTCAAAAATGTCAAAAAATGAGAAAACACTCATATATTTATTACACCTACTGGAAAGATCTCTTAGATAGATAGATAGATAGATAGATAGATAGATAGATAGATAAAATTACAAGCATAACATATACTACTTCTTTTGTATTTCTAAGTCTATTCTTCATGAAGTCTTTCATGATCTTTGGACAAACTTCTGGACAAACAGGAATATCAGAAGAGTGATACCTCTACGAAGCTATCACCTTTAGGAAAGAGGGAGCTAAACTATTTTATGATGGGTCCACTTTGTCATATTTATAATCTGTGAATTCACTATATCTCCCTTTAAATCATCTAAGGGCTCCTAAAATTTGGGGCTATAAATTGGTAATAGTGAAACGTGTTCCTACAGATATAATAAACAAAGAAATGCATTTCCCTGTTGGGGGGGGGGGGGCGGTGAATTAAATGAAAAAGCCAGAAGAGAAAATATTTTTAAAATAACATTTCTAAAGGTTAATTTTTCGAAACAAAAATATTACAACTCACACAAAATAAGGAAAAAATTACACTCACAGTCACACACTCCTACTAAACAGAAGTCACCTCTACACATCACTGCAGAATCCTCTGGAAGGGGTAACGTCTTGGGAAAGTTACAACTATTAAGAGTCAACCAGAACCCCTATTTTTTTAATGGCCTCAATTCTGTTCTGGGGTTAAAAGACTGGAACGGATCTCAGCAAGCCAGTGAGGCAATTTCTAACCGGAGGCAACAAAGCTCCATAAATCTTTCCACACAGCTCGCAAGCTGGCGTGGTGACCATGGGTGTGGCTGCAGTTAAAAGTGAGAAAGCTTTGAAAGCTAAACTCGACAACTAGGCAAACACTGTCGATGAGGCGAAAACCAAACCCATGATCCGGATTCTGTCCCAGCAAGATATCCTTTCATGTCCCACTTGGTTTATTATCAAGTTCATGGAGTTGGGATCCTTGAGCCACGAACGCCTTTCACCCACGACACTGTGGCCGCGTAGGTAGCTAATCTTTGGTAAGTAAACTGTGGAAGGCATTGCTTAATGGACGGTGAAGTAATTGCCCTAAAATAATGCCGGGCAGACCTCACCATGTGACATGGAAAACAAACAACTGCGTGTTCCCTGCAGCCAGAGTCCTTCCATTCTGTCTTCATGTACAAAAGAGTTTACATACAGGATGAAGAAAAGCACGTTTCCAAACGGGGAGGGTACCGAAGCTCTCTGGTTTACGAGCCCTCCATCCCCGTAGAAAATGCTAATTTTTAAGCCCCAGTACGCAGGTTGGTTTTCTTTCCCGATTTGGGAGGGAACAGGGGAGTGTGCTGGACACACTGGCATTAACCAGGCACCTTGAGGCTGCTCAGTAAAGCGAATAACTGGCTCAGGTGCCGATCGGGGAAAGAGTGTTCCTGAAGGTTACTCACCATGTGACCCTGCCCGAGGTGGCACCATCAGGTAAATGATTGACACATGAGATGTTGACTCCTGGTCACACATTACATACCAAACTGCGGGAAACAGAGGCCAACACTCTGCCTGACTTTCTACCGTAATCCCCATAGATGGTCCTAGTCACTCGCTAAGTCACAACCAGAGACGTGCAACCAGAAACATACCTGCGTCCACCTGCCTGGAGGTTCTTCGAAGTCCATTGGTCCGTTTCTGCGCAGAAAGACAAAACAAAGAGTTTCTATTAGTAAAGTGCATTCCTTTGTGAAGGATCTAATAAAATGTAAAACCTTAAAAAATAAATTGTTAAAAATAAATAAAATTGTTATGTTGCATTTCAATGATGGATATCTACAGGCTTGTTACGCTAATATCTCAAAAGTATGTTTAAAATTTTTAATAAAAAAATTTAACCGAATAAATTGATTTTTTTAAAGTATATTACTTTGTGACACTTTGGAAAGCCAATGAACGTTGTACTTTTCCCATGAAAAAGTATGACTAAATTGGATTCAAACATTTGGTTCTAAAGCTTGTTTTTATAGTTCAACCTTTTTGTTTCTCCAATGAGTCTTCCACCTGAACAACACTCCATTGGCTCTGTTCATACTTGGAACACTGTGGGAGAGAAGGAGGCTTCCATTTGCCACCTGTGGGTATTAGTACTCATTTTTTTTGAAGTCAGAATGACTACAGGAGTGATGAGAGCGAAGCCCAGGCAGCCCAGAGCGGTCAGAACATGCTCCCAGCAAAAACATGATCTCCAAAACGCTAACTCGGTGATTTTTGAGGCCTGACAGACCAGCGCCTGGAGAAGATGCAGCTCCAAAGACCTCAAGCTCCGACCTTAGCAAACACTTAAACGAGGACGGTATTCTAACTGTGGGTCGGTTGTATCTTAATTCTTCAAGAAACAAAACAGGCATGCAGCCTGTGAACCATAAAAGCCCATTCTGATTAGAGAAAAGGAATCCATAAGAAAAACTGTGTACCTTAATCAATAAAGAAAAAAATTTACATGAAAAAAAAACACCTGTGCATTGCAAGACTTACAGATGAGATGCAAAACAAAAGGTTTTAAAGCTTTGAAAATACATAGGAACAAATTCGATTCCGTACTGAATTTGTTTCTACCTAATAACTATGGCAACCCCACTGATTAAAAGTAGATTTTCGCCTTGTATTACACATCTGGGTAACGGCCATGTCATTCAGATTTTCACCGCCGCAGCTTTTCCGACGTGTGTCAGGGACTGCGCCTGTGTAGACTGCGCTCCATTCGGGGCACACCCAGCTTTGCTCAGCACACACTAGCCATGGGTTTCTCCTTGGGTTCCTCCTGGTGTTTCCTTTCACAAGTTAAATGGGGGAAATGGGCTCCTACAGATGCCAGGGGGCCTCCACACTGTGGTAAGCAGACATTCAGGGTTCTCAGGTGAAAGCCAGTTGGAGAAATCGTTTACATATAACTTTTTCACCCCACTACTTTCAAAATGGATTTGTGCAAAAGGCCCAGGGGATGAAGCTCAGGCGTACGAGACGGATATCTGTACTGGACAGACCAGTCAGGAAGAGAGCCGCTGGGAGTGAGAAGTCAGTGCAGTCCTGGCCATCTGGTCAACCAGGCACAAAGGAGAAGCATGGAGAGTCACAGATTCATATGCAATCACTTGGACGAAAACTGCTTTCAAAGAAAGACACTTCTCTGCCTGAAATTTTATGTAGAAGTTTTGGAGCTCTCTCTATGAATGAGCTCAACTGACAATATTTTCTATATAATGATGGGTATTTCATTGTTAGTGACTTCCTGCATAGCCCTCCTCCTTCTACACGTAGAATAGGAGCTGTTTTTCTACTGCTCTTACATCTACTCTCTAAGGGCTTGGAAGGCAAAAAAGGAATTCAACCGTTGGGCCTTACTCCTAGAATCCCTAAACCAGTACTATTTAAAAACTATCAACTTAGAATATGAAAAAGAACACTCGATTTCAAGAGTAACTCCACATTACCTTAGAAATTAGGATTAAAATTTGGAACACGGGGCAATTTTTAAGAGTATGAATTGTAGCATCAGACTGCCCAAGTTCAAATTCAGACCACCAGGCACCTGTTTGATCATGAATTAGTTAACATCTTTGTGCCTGTCTGGATCCCCAATTTCCAAAGGGGATTATATCCCCATCGGGGGTAATAATAGTGCCTACTTCATAGCATGTGTGGTGAAAGTGAGTTAATTTATGTTAAGTGCTTGGAACAGTTCCTGACACATAGCAAGGATTATTAAGTGAGATATTATTATTAGTATTATTATTATTGACCTTATTAACTTAATGGTGTTTGGAATGTTTAAATTCATATAAAGGACAAATTCTTCTACTAAAGTTATTGCCCTACTGCTTATGTTTTAGGTTCTTCCTCCAGAAAATCACTGAAAACCAGTGACCTTGAGAACAGAAACTTCTCTACAACAAGAGTGGGAAATAGAACAAACCATGATCTGGTGAATAAAAAAAAAGGGAACTTCAGCTCAGAACAAGTGCATTTAGAGAGGCTGAGATTTATTGTACTTTAAAAGCACCTAAAAAGTATTTTGTTATGAAATATTGGGAAATGTTTAGCAGAGCATGTTTAAACACACTCCACTCCTCCTGCCTAAATTCTCAAAAGCCTGGCACCGAGCTGGAGTTGACCTTGTCGCCAGCAGGGACTGGTGGGCTCATGTAATGGGCGTCCCTGGAGCTCAAGTACAGCCCCAGGAGATCAGGAGGGTCCGCCTTCAGAGCCCTCTCCATCCCCTTTCATCTACCTGGGGGGAGAGAGGAGGGGAGGGACAACAACCGAGGATCTTACTTTTATTTCTTGGTGCATTACCTTTTACCTTGTCTCTCTCTAAAAGAAATATCTTAATCATCTAAGACTCTTCTTGCCTCTTTTGGGACACACCTAATTCTGTTGATTTTGCCAACAAAACAAGCACAGGTTCACTTGCCATAAGGAACTGGCTTTGGTTCCTCTCTCTGTTTTGAAGGCAGAAAGCCCTATGTGAAGGAACAGATTTAACGTAGGTGTGTATGAAGTAGGTATGCAACGATGACCTCGCTTCCTGGAGCCAGAGGTGGCCCCTGAAGGCCCATGCTAGAATGGGACGTGAGGTGCACGTCCCACCGGAGGCTAAGGAGACCCGTGGGCCTGTGGCTACTGAAAACTGGCCCACCTTGACAATGAGGTATAACATGAACAGTAAAAAGTGTAATCGTGGCTCTGGAAAAGGGGAACCACATAGGACTACAAACAGATACATGGAGAGAAAGGAGGGAAAGCAATAAACATTCCAGAGCTTACAGAGCCTTCATCGTTCAGTTCAGGGAAGATTCCTGAACATCATAGCAGCATCAGTCTTGGTGGGGAGGACGGAGTGAAAGACACTTCTTAACATCCGATTCTCCCTTAAATCGAGCTCAAGTTCCCGGATAAATCGGCCAGTATAAGAGCTTGCTATAATTACCCATCCAAAGTAGAGATTACTAGCAGATTCACACAGGAAATAAAAATTACACTTATTATATTCAAAAGTTAATAAGCAAGTCGCTGAAACACTGATGCTACATTTTTAAAAACTCAACGTGAAAATGAATTCCTTTCATGATAGGCGCATGTGTAACTTTTAAGAACACACATACACACACACACACACACACACACACACACACACAAATGCCCAGAGAAAACTGTTTAGCATCCTGTGAAAATTATGAACCACTTCTCATCTGCATACTTTCTTTCTTGGCATAACTTGAATCAAATCAAGTGAAATAATCTTCCCAGAGAAAGCAAAGTAATGTCTGTGTCCAACAGGATCGAGGCAGACTAGCCCTGAGATGAAGTCCAGGGTCTGCAAGGAAACCTGTGCCAATAACCTGCCACCAGCCTGCGAGGGAGAGAAGGGGGCGGCTCTCCAAGGTCTTCATTTTGTCTCTGGAACAATCCTCACAGTCCTGATGACAATCTCACCTGTCGGCTACACACTACAGGAAATTCCTCAGTAACTCATTTTACCCTAGAACAACCTGTGTGGCCTATGTCAAAGTCAGCATTATCTTGTTACACATTCCCTCGATCTAAAGTCTAAAATACAGTTAGCTCACACATTGAACAGGCACACCTGAATGTCCACGTCACACTCTTGTTATCTTGGATAAAAAAAAAAATGCGTGCTTTTGCAAAAGAAAAGCAGAAAATAACTTACCTCTTATTGACATCTTGCAGTACTTTTCGTTATTTTTACCAACTATATGAACACCAGCCTATTAAACGCATACTAATAAGACACCACTCTTAATGAGATGCAATTGTGTTAAAATAATTTGGCATGGGATGTTTTTGTCATTCTTTTATTCTGAAACTAGAGGTCTGGTGCACGAATTCGTGCATGGGTGGGGTCCCTCAGCCTGGCCGGCAATTGGGGCGATCAGGGCCGATCAGGGCTGGCAGGCTGGAGGTGGGGTGGGGAGGGACTGCAGGAGGTTGTCCGGCCATGGAAGGTTGTCTGTGGGAGCGCACTGACCACCAGGGGGAAGCTCCTGCATTAAGCGTCTGCCCCCTGGTGGTCAGTGCACGTCATAGTGACCGCTCAACTGGTCATAACAGTTGCTCAGGCTTTTATATATATAGATTCTCTGAAAATGGACTTCAGGTTCCCATCACATCAGACATAGTTTCTATTTTAATTTTCTTTGCTATGACATTATTTGGGGGAAGTCGGGTAAGAAATGTGTTACTTTGGGTTGAAGGCCAAGGCAGTGGTTGCCTGGAACTGGCCCTGTTTTTCATTATTTCTCCTTTTTTTAAATAGCTTTATTCCAAGGGGTGACAGGGACCACAGAGCACTAAGCCATTAGATGTGAGAGTGTATTAAACCAAAAGGAAACGGTTATCAGATCTTGGTTCGATCCATACGAATCACTTTGTGTTCCAATGTAACAGCACTAGACACACGAAGCACAGGCCTGGGTGGCCAATGTTGGAAGCTCAGTGCTAGTGAACCCCGGGCGGCAACAGGCTGCGTGACAGCGACAGGCCCCCCAGCCTCCTGGGAGGAGGCCACCCTTCCTTCTGTGCAGACAGGGCAAAGCTCCTCCTTCCAAGGAAATGCCTCCCGGGGCACTGCGTTTCCTAAACCTCCGGGTTTGTGGAATTCCGTAGCGGGGAATGCACCCCTCATTAATGCCACCGCATTGCATCTGAAATTTACCTGCACCAATAAGATGCTGACAGTTCCCGTTCACACACCAGGCTGAGGCTAAATATCCACATTTCCCTCCAGTGAGACCTCCCGCAGGTGACCGTGAAAACACCTCTGACTAAACCGTGTGTTTCATTCACACGCCCTTGCTTGCTCCCCCGTCTGTTTCCATCCACTTTCAGAGGCACATTGAACAGGCCGAAAGCTCACGCCCGTTAGCAAACAACCCCACCTGCAAACGTGATCTGAAAAGGTTGAAATGTTCCTCTTACCTCCGGTGCTTTGAGCGTCCCCGATTCTGAAAGAAACGTAAAGATGGGCATTGTCAGTGCAGGTTTCCGTTTGGTTAGCAGCCTCCGCTGGCTGGGTGCAGCCGGCCAGACGCCTCGGCTCTGCCGCCCGGCCTGGTACCTGCAATAACTTTCCAGGGTCCCTCAGGCTGGGCTGGGAATTGTTTTGCAACTCCGGTTCCCTGGCCCTATTGGCTGTCGGGAGAGTGACTCATGGTCCTGAATGACTTCTCGGTTATGCTTAACTTTTTCAACGGCTTGTGGAGCAATGTCAGTCCAACCGCAGAAAGCTCCTTGACACGGTGGCTTGCACTAAATTTATGTGCAAAGAGAAAGCTGGGTGGGAGCTTTCAACACACCAGGTTTTAAGAACCTCCACGCACCAAGTCACAGAGGCGCTATCCTATCTGCAAGCATCGCAGATCGAACACAGGACAATGCTGCATGTCATTCTTTTTGCATTAAGTGGCGACAACACTTATTTTTAATTTTGAGGGGGTGGGGAATACATTTTGATTTAAAGATGGAAATAAAAAGCAGCGGGTCGGATTCCAATCAGCGTTTCCTCTCCTCGGCAGGGGACCCGTCTATATATAAAACCATGACGTCCATTCCATTTCAGTTCCTGAAAATGACTAGCAGGTACGCAGGACCGGGAGCTTCAGGTGAGCGACGCGGCAGGAAAGCACAGGGCTGCCCTGTAATTAGCGGCTCCGGCTGCACAGGGAGGCCCATGGGGCTATTTTCGCTCCTTTCCCCACACCCAGGGGTGCCTGGGCAGGTTCTAACTTCTCCACTGTGAAGGGAAACACCTCGCCGTTCTCTCCTATGCCTGTACTTTCCCACCCAACACGATCCTCTAAAGAAGGACCGGAAAGAGAAAAAGAAACCAAGGGGGAAAAGTCAGCAGAAAGGGGGGAAGCCTAAATGCGAGCTCTGTGGGCCGAGGAGCCCCACCGAGCAGAGTTCAAGGGCGCCCCGACCTTCAGAGCCCGACTGGCGGCCACAGGTTGTGCACACAGAACGACCGCCTGGGGCAGGCAACAGGAGGTTGCTCTCGTTCTGTTTTCATCTGAAGGACTGACTGCTCCTGATTCATGGAAAGGAAAACCCATGGGCAAAAAGGCACCTTTCTGGGAAAAGCTGCGTCTGCGTTCCCTGATCCAATTTCCACCCCCATCACCTGGCTTCACAGGCCACTGTCAGGTGGGAGCTGCCTCTGCCCAGGGTTCCTGCACAGGAAGCGACTCCACTCCTGTCCTCCCTCTAGAAAGAGGCCGGCTGCAGGGGGGAGGCTGGGAGAGGCTGCTTTGGAGAGAGGGTCTGTGCACGCACCATCTGGCTGGATTCTGGGCCCAGACTAAGGACCCAGGCAAGGTGAACTGGGTTCCTCACAGGTCGTAATACCTGTCCCACTGGTTTGACCAAAAAGAGCCATCTGCCCAAATAGCTCTGAGCTACTTTCTCCTCCAATCAGAGAGGCAGAGCGAGCCAACAGGAGGGGAGTCCACGTCTGCCTTCCCTCGAGACTGAGCAGAGCTCGATGCTTCCAGATGACCTCTGACCTCTGACATCGCAAATCCCAGACCTCCTGGGTCCTGTTCCCACGGAAGGTGCCCCTTCATGTCCATCCCAGAGGAGCCTTTGTTTCTGGCTCTGCACGGAGGTGTTCTTGTGTCTGGGGAAGCAGGCCCTTTACAATGCGCTTTACATGTAACAGTAAACCCACTGCGCCCAGGAGGGCACCTGGGAGCCCCTCGGGAAGAGGGGACCGTGGCCTCCCGGGTGGCAGGTTGCTGTGCAGACACTGGCACCTCTTCACCCTGAAAGCGGGCCCCCAAAAAAGACCCTCGTGTACAGCTCTCTGCATCTTGATAGGGTTCGAGTGCCAGCTGGCCAGTCGCCTGCATGAGTGAGCCTCTCTCACAGAAGTCAAGAGGGTGTGAGGCCCGGCCGGCGTGGCTCAGTGGCTGAGCCTTCACCTATGAACCAGGAGGTCACAGTTTGATTGCCAATCAGGGCACATGCCCGGGTTCAGGGCTTGATCCCCAGTGTGGGGTGTGCAGGAGGCAGCTGGTCCATGATTCTCATCATTAATGTTTCTATCCTTCTCTCCCTTCCTCTCTTTGAAATTAAAAAAAGAAAAAATTAAAAATGAAGAAAAAGGGTGTGAGGTGCAGGCAGCCACAAGTGGGAACATGATGTTTCTATCTCTCGCTCCCTCTCCCTTCCTGTCTTTGATATTAAAAAAATAAAAAATGAAAAATGAAGAAAAAGGGTGTGAGGTGCAGGCAGCCTCAAGTGGGAACGGACTGGACTCGGGGAACCACCCCACTCACTGCTCCTCCTTCATCCTCCCGCTCCCTGCTGCCCCCACTTCGAGGATCCGCTTTCCTTATTCTCCTCATTGGATGCGCTAAGAACTGCTCTCCACAGGCCTCCCCGTGTAACCCACAGAGGAAAATGGAGAAGGGGCTTTGGGCTGGGTGCAACTCCAAGTCCAAGGCCAAGGCCCTGCGCTGGGGCTGACCCTGGCCCTCGCCACCACTCCCCGTCCTCACGGCCCCCACCCTCCCCTGCACTCTACCTCCTCCCGCCTCCCCAGAGAGAGGCTCACTCCCTCCCTGGCACTGGCGGAAGGCCGCTCACACTCTGACCTGCGCAGGCTGCACGATCACGTAAACAATGGCTCTTTGGAGTCAGACCTTACACTCATCATATTTCGTGGGAGGATCCTGTACATTTTCTGAGAACAGGGCCAAAGCCAACAGGTTGGAAGTAACGCTTAGAAGCTGTTCTGAGTTCAGAAATTCTCAGCCAGACCCCTTTACTGACACATTTCTAATTATTGAGCGGATTGACTCACTCACAGACAAAAGCTCCATCCTGACCACCATATCGATGCAACAGTGTGTTAACGTCGACTAAAATAACAGGGAGGAGAGAGGGGGGAACCCAAAGGCAGGCTGTTTTCCAGGTCAGAGTTCCTGCCGGCCGGGAAGCCAGGAAAGAACCTCCTGGGATGAGGCGCTATGGAGACGCTGCTCTGATTTCCAGCCTGCCAATCCGTCCTCCACCTCTTGCTTCACCCAAACTGCAACACGGGCGCCTAGATCCCTACACAACTCTGAGCCATGGTCCCACATCAGGACTAAGACACCGAGGGCTGATCACCATCGAATCCACTCGGACCTGCTGGGACGGCTGCTGGATGAGATCTGCAGACACAGTCCCCCTCTGTGTCTTTCTCCCGGGAACGGCCTTAGGATAATAAGTCAATTCTTCCACTTTGTCCAAAAGTCTTTAATCCTCAACGTGTCTTTCCCCTGCAGCCTACTTCTCGGGCTCCTATTGATCAAACTGTGAAACGTTCCTGCCCTTTCAAGCACCTTTCCAGGTGGTGACTCACGGGCCCGCGAGGGGCTCAGACCTCTCGTTCTTTCATCAGGTCCCAACTAGCTCGAGGTGGCTCAGAGCCGAGGTGCGGCTGAGGGCGGGGCGTGCAGGGCTCCAGCCTGCAGCCAGCCCGGGGCGCCACGGGCATGTGTGTGAGAGAAATGGTTTCCACCGAGGCTGTACACTCACGTCCCATGATTCATTTGCTTAAACAAAAATCCGGCCCTATTATATGTGTCCGTCCCCTACAAGTGGCTCCCGGGGCATGTATCACGATGCAATCTGCTTGGTCTTTTACCTGAAGTTCTATTTCTTACAACCAAGCACATCAATACTCAGTACAATCACTGGTCTCCAAAGGGGGCACAGACAAGTCGTTACTCGTGTAGCTTTGGACGGTGCCTTGTCATCATAGCTAAAGTAGGTCGTTTCTGTGAAACAGTAACGCGAGAAGACAGTGGGAACTGAACCAGATTGGGGGGAAGTTGTGTGGATACTATGCTCGCCACTCAGATCTACAGCAAAATCTTGGAAAACAAAACACTATAAGCAATACTTGGGGGGAGGCTTTGAGTTCAAGTCTTTTCCGGACTCTAAGAGGATCCAACCATGTAACAGATCCCAGTTCACTTGAATAATTACTACTGCATCATGCAACTGCCCAAACAGGCAAGTGGAAGGAATCATAGCAAGGCCTGAGTATAAAATTGCCTTGATTGATTAAAAAGGGGACTGACTTATGTGATAGGATTTAAGTAATACGAAGTAAAACCAAAGCCAGTTTTGGGTTATAGAATCGACAATCAAGCCTTGGTTCATAGAAAACTTAAAATACTTAATGGTGGTAGGCTGACATAAAATTCTATTCACATGGCTTCGGTCATGTTAAAATACTACAATACTCTCTATAAAAGAGCCACTTCGGATGCCAATTTGGGGGGTAGCAACCTTGCAGGGCTAAACCAATTGGCCACCAAGGCCACTCTCTCCAGTAGGAGTAGCTGCAGCCGGAGCAGTTTTTAAACAGACAAGCAAGTGGGGAGCACTTCGGTGAAATACAGAGCAGCTGAGGCTTGCGACCCACTCCCCGGGAAGGTGCCTTGAACTGGCATCGTCCCCTTTCTGTGTTTAAAGGGAGAGGGTGCAAAGCAAGCTGTATTGAGCAACGTCAGGGGGAGAGGGGACCCAAGGGTGTTTGATCAGATGCTACGGGAGGGGAAAAGCACAAACGTCCCCAGAGGTTGCAGTCCCGGCTCAGGCCCTCCCGGGGGGACACTGTGAGAAAGAAATGCCACTCGGGAATGACGCCATCTTGGCAGGGACTTGTTCGGAGACTCTCGTCCAAGGGAGGCCATACCTCGTCATTACTGAGCGGGAAGTGCTGGCACCACACCTCCGAGTCCCTGCGTGTTGATCGCTGAGGTTGCCATGGCGAGCGGGAGGAGTCCGCTCAAGTTCAGCGACAAAGAGGGTTGGATCGGACTGCCTGCTCTTTACACCCGTGCGAGTGTCCAGATGTGAAGACACAAACTAACCCCCCAACCTTCCAATCTGTTTCCAAGCTGCACAGTTGGTCTTACAAATAGCCAACATTTATCAAAAGACCTTTCCCATACTTCATGTGCACTTGAGCCCGTAATCTGTCGGAGTGGAATATTCATGAGAATGCATTACTTCCTTCACTCAGAAATGCGCGGCATTTTTTGCCAAGTGATTATTTCAAGGATGAATGAAGACGAGGTAAATTTAAGGGATACGGAGCATGAAGTATAAAGGGTTTCTGAGCCCTGGGAAGACAGCACCCAGAGAAGGCTTAACGTCCACAAGAAGAGGTGACTCAGCTACTTCAAATGCTTGAAGGTTGGCATTCAGCCACATCCAACATACAAGGATTGCGGTGGGGTGGAAACACTCCTATTGGGGGGAGAGGATCAACTACTGGGTCTTAGGCATTTTGACTTTGGACCTGGTACTAAGTGGGAGACACAAATGAGAAACACACTCCCTATCGGGAAGGACCATGCAATCTACTAGAGGAAATTAAAAGCGTCAGAGAGCAGGGCCCACCACACACAGGCCATGAGTTCCACCACAACGCCCAGCTGCCCTTGTCCTTCAGTTGAGATCACATGACCGGTTTTAATCAATGGACTGTGACCAAACTAAACGGCATTGCTCACTTCCAGTCCCTGGGTCTGAAGAGCAGCAACCCGACCAAACTAAACGGCATTGCTCACTTCCAGTCCCTGGATCTTAAGAGCAGCAACCCTGGATGGAGGCCGTGTGTTGAAGAGGCAGAGCCACAGGATGGAACTGGTTTGGATCCCGAGCCATTAACTAGAAGGGGGCTACCCCTGAGGGCCAGGGCCGCACCGTGTGTGTGAGAAATAAACGGGTACGTGTTAAAGCCATTGGGACTGGGGGCGTTTAGTTGCCACAACACAGCCGAACTTTGGCAAATACATAAAACCCACACAAAAACTAACGAGAGAACCATTTACATCAGACCAGCGTTGGGCAGTGGAGGAAGGTTAAATGATTGGCAGAGAGCGTGGGGAAGAGGAAGGAAAGGAAGAGTAAGATCTTGGAACCGGAGGGAGAAAAGAAAGTGTGTTTCAAGGAGAGGGAACAGGAAGAGCCAGGCAAGGATTCTAAAAATGGATTCACAGAGGTCTGAACGCCCCCTTTCCTGCTTTATAATAAATCCTGCAACCAAGCTGAGAGAGCGATGCTGCCCCTCAGTGGGGGGGCGGGGGGCTGAGTAAGTGACATTATCTATGATCTGTGGGTCCCCGACAGTCTAAGTTACCTTAAGGGGGGGGGGGGGGGGGGGCTGTGTAAGTGACATTATCTATGATCTGTGGGCCCCCGACAGTCTAAGTTACCTTATTTTCCTATGTGCATGACTCAGTTTCCTCATCTCAACACGAGAGGCCGAGGACTGAAGGTGTTTACATCGTCCAGCTCTGAGACAGCCCCTGAGAGCGGGCAGCATGACCCTCAGGGCTGCCTGCATTTCTCACCCTTCAACACATGTAAACCTACACACAGTTGGTAGCTACTAACTTACCCAATTCACAAGTGTTACTGCTTAAAAACACCTATTAGGACATCTCTCCCTTTCCCAGGGAAGACGCAGCACCTGCTTTTGCTGGGGTTACTCTCTGTGCCGTCACACGTGCGGCAGGTGTCAGCACAGCGAGTCCGCAGCCTCGCAGCACAGCCCAGGGCGCAGGATAAACTCAGGACCTGGCCCTCCCGGAGCGGAATCTGTGTTCTATTATTAAACAACTTAGACACGTTACTTATGTCCCTGTTCCTCAGTTTCTCGTCTGTAAGACAAGAAAAGCAATGAAACCAACTTCATGGGACCTTGGTAGGACTAAGTGAGTGGACAGTGGTAAAGTCCTTCAATAGTGCCTGACACTTCATACATATTTATTTTTTAAAAAGAAGGAAAGAAAGAAAGAAGAAAACTGTTAGTCCTGGCCTGCGTGGCTCAGTTACTGTCCCATGCACTGAGAAGTCACTGGTTCAATTCAGCTCAAGGCACATGCCGGAAGGAAGGAAGGAAGGAAGGGAAGAAAGGAAGGAAGGAAGAAAAAAAACTTTAGTCCTGGCCGGTGTGGCTCAGTTACTGTCCCATGCACTGAGAAGTCACTGGTTCAATTCAGGTCAAGGCACATACCGAGGTTGCGAGCTGGATCCCCAGTAGGGGAGGTGCAGGAGGCAGCCGACTGATGTTTCTATCTCTTTCTCTCTCCCTCTCCCTTCCTACTGACCTTTTTTTTAAAAAAACAAAAAAGTTAAAATGTTAGAAGTCCGTGAATGTCATTCTTGTGTCTCACTTCTAAGTTTGGTGCTCGCTCGTGTTTCTATCCACATTTGCTCCACATCCCAAAACAAGAAGGAAATTACAGAAGAAGCCCGTCCTTTAAAAAAATGACTTTCCAACACAGCCCCTTGGGTTCCCATCCTGAGCCCCCCTGTGCCGGGCTCTGCACTGAGCATCACGTTATCTTATCTGACCCCCGCAAGAACCCTCCAACTTCCATCTTACAGACGAACTCAGGAGACCTCGGAATGTTTAAGTAACTTCCGCGAACTCGTGTAACTAGGAAATAGCAGAGAGTTTCAAGAATCTCTGCTTGAGCCCTGGCCGGTTTGGCTCAGTGGATAGAGCGTTGGCCGGGGGACTGAAGGGTCCCAGGTTAGATTCCGGTCAAGGGCCCATGCCTGGATTGCAGGCTTGATCCTCAGTAGGGGGTGTGCAGGAGGCAGCCAATCAATGATTCTCTCTTCCTCTCTGAAATCAATAAAAATATATTTTAAAAAAGAAAGAATCTCTGCTTGACTCTCCACTACTCTCCCACACTGTATCCCATAGAACTGAAGAACCATGCCAACCAACCATGGGACCTCTTGACTCTCAACTACTCTCTTACTATTCCCTGTAGAATCGAAGAGCCACACCAACCAATTCAATCATGGAACCCCTTTATATTCCGCCCAGACTCAGCAAACAGGGCTGCAGAGCTTAGGAAATCACACCAGCCTCTATGGGTAAATAACATGTGAACTTCTCAAAGGCATGAAAAAATGGGGCCCGTGAAAATGAACAACAAAGTTTAAGTGATCAATTTTGTCAGGTAGACAAAGAATAGCGATAACACTATATACCATTTCTTCTGTATTTTACAACTTTGTAGACTGTTCTTTTTTTTAAGTATTTTTTATTGATTTCAGAGAGGAAGAGAGAGAGATAGAAACATCAATGATGAGAGAGAATCATTGATCGGCTGCCTCCTGCATGCCCCCTACTGGGGATCGAGCCCGAAACCCAGGCACACGTGCCCTGACCAGGGGTCAAACCCTGACCTCCTGGTTCATAGGTCAATGCTCAACCACTGAGCCACACTGGCCAGGTTGTAGTCTGTTCTTGACCTTCAGACATAGTAGTGGGTGCTAACCTTGTCGCCTTCACTTGACAGAGCTCGAGTGAGTTGCAGAAGCGCCCTGACCCAGCACAGACATTCTTTGTGTGCGCTGGCGCCACACACAGAGAGAGGCCCCGCAGGCATGGTGCAAGTGCTCAGCTAATGGCAGACTTTCCCCCAGCAGCTGCCCGTCTCCGGCACAGGGAGCGGCTCCTGGGGCCCTGTCCGTATGTCCGCTGAAGGAGCCAAGCGAGGAGCGTGCTGTGACCTCAGACCTCTAATAGGATTCACCCCTTTCCCCCATGGTCCGGTTTCTGAAGTCAGCCCTGAAACGAGCTATTATTCTCTTCCTCAGATTCTCTCTCCTCAGATTATCCAAAATAATTCAATGTCCACCTTTCCCTTTGGGAAAATCAAAGGTTGACATGGCTGCCTTTTGAGCTCAAGCTGTTCAAGATCCCTTTCTTCTCTTCAAAAAGTTTCACTGATTTTGAAAGGTCTTATTGATAAAACGCAGAGAGAGAAACTCAGGGGAACAGGACAAAGAGAAAGGAGAAGAAAGAGAAAGAATAAAGAGGCCAGGAAAGAAAGAGAAGAAAGAGAGAGCCCGGGAGGAGAGGCGAAAGGCTCCTGAGTGTGCGGTTGCCGACGGCTAGAGACGGGTCCGTGAAACAATCGTGGGGTGTTATTTTTAAAAACCAAGGGGGAAATATTTACACAAAATCCAAATAACATTGCTCTTTGTTCCATGCTGGGAAATGACAATGTATTCAATTCGTTCACTCATGAATTATTCTACGTGATGCTGACTGCTGGCGTTGTTAGCATTTCCGAGCTGAGTATTTAAGAGAATAAGGGAGGAATTCAGGAACTGAAGATAGAAATGAAAAATAATTTTTTGTTTTGTTTTTGTTACTCCACATGTCTGTTTGGGTGGTATGGATCCAACCTTAGTGAGATGAGGGGGTTGGGGTGAGTGAAATGGGTGACATGAAACCTCCCTAACTCCTCCAGAAATTGAACCCTCTGCCTGCCACGTGTGTAGAGAAGTCACATGACTTTCAACAATCCTCTAACCTGTGCTCATCAATGAGTGTCAAAGAAGAGATGCTACTATAAACACATCGCAGGAGTCAATGGGGCCTGAATTATGTTTAGCAAGTTCTGTGTCCCAGTTAGCAGCAGATTCACCCCAAGAGACATGACTTACCCACAGAATTAACTCGGCCACAGTTGTCGACTCTTCCCAGACATTCCTTGTGTGCCCTGGCGCCACACTTGAAGCATAAATAGCCCTGGTAAAAGGTTCCTCTGAAAGGTGAAGTGGGAGACAGGGGTGAGCAGGCGCTGAGCTCTGCCGTTACGCAGTCATTAGTGCGAGAAAGAAAAACGGGAACACAGTGCTGTGTGCGAAGCCCAGGCAGGGGACCTCCCGGGGCCTGGGGGACCCGTCCAGGTTCAAGGCCCAGGAGAGCTCTGTGGGGTCCACACCGTTAAGACAATATCCCCATGTTCCCCTCCCACCCCCCAGGAACCTTGGGCTGGGACGTCAGGGAAGCCTGCAACGCTCAGCAATGAGGCCGGCTCCCTTAGGCTGGACCCTGGCCGCGCGGAGCTCACCTGAGCAGCATCTGGCAGGCCTTGCAGGAGGTCACCCGGCTGAAGGTGTGCATCTTAAACTCGTGGAAATTGGAGTCGGCATGGTCTGGCCTTATGTTGGATCTGGAATAAGGGAAAGAAGGAACTTCCTAAAGAAAGGCTCCCAGGGAAGGAGCAGTCCAGTCATCGGAAACGTGAGTTCATCAACTTCCCATGGGGTGGAGATCTGATTCGAGCAAAAAGGCTCTTCCATATGCAACGTTTCTAAAAGCCAAGGGTGTGTTTTGCCTTAAAACGTGCACCGAAATCTCACTGTGTCAGAGCCAGCAGCCTGTGAGGAGTTAAGGAACCTGATCCTCCCTAGAATCGAGTGTTCCCAGAGAACTTTCCAGAATAGCCACGGAAGTCAACCTTTTGGGAAAACACAAAACTGGCTAGACAGTCATTTCTTGTCTCTGGCCACAGCTCTGAGCTATAAACTAGCTGGAGGGGGCGAGGGTGGGGAAGAGGGTCCCTCCACAGAGCCCACCTCTGCAGAGGCACATGGCTGCTGTGATGGTCTATAAAAGTGAATGAAATCATTTCACGAAACGTTTGAAACAAGGTACAAGGGAGGGAGGCAGCTAGTGCAGGCTTAACCAAACAAACAAACAAAACAAAAAACTTCCTCCTCAACAAACAATTCACTTTCCTTACAATCCAGGTAAAACTAAACAAAGAAATGCTATCATTTATGTTTTTTTAATATATTTTTATTGATTTCAGAGAGGAAAGGAGAGGGAGAGAGAGATAGAAACATCAATGATGACAGAGAACCATCGATCGGCTGCCTCCTGCACGCCCCACTGAGGATTGAGCCCACAACCCAGGCATGTGCCCTGACTGGGAATCGAACCGTGACCTCCTGGTTCATGAGTTGACACTCAATTACTGAGCCACACTGGCCAGGCTGTTTTATATTTTATGTACACATACACAAAAATACACTAAGCCTACTGCCAACTGACATTCTCAGTGCATTTTCTCTTTACGGACACGGTGACAACCACACACTCGTTTACAATCTAGGACACAGTTGCTTCTGTTAAGGCAAAGAAAATGGCAGGGCCAAGACCTCCAAGCCCGGTCTGTGCTTCCCACCGCCAAACCTCTAGCTCAAGGCAATTTCACCTTAATATCCTTCGACTTATGTGACTAGTAAGTCTGTTGAAACAGCTAAGTCTAGCCATGTCTAGAGGACTTTTTACATATCCGCAGTTTATCCAGGTCACAGACAAAAGCAGAAAAATTAGAAAAGGGTAAGTTAAATATGGATACGAAGCAGAGCTACACCTAGAGAGCCAAGACGATGCTCTCTGGGGTGTCTCAGCAATTTGTGGGGTTGCAGGGACAGTGTGAGACACGGATGAGCGGGGATGTCCCCTCTTCCAGACTCGCAGCTCTCAGCCACGTGGAACCTTGGCCTAAAGAAGCAGAGCGCAGGCGGGCAACCAGGCATCAGACTCCGAGGGGCCGGGAAGAGCCTTATGAAAAAATGAGCCAAGGCGATCGGAGCAGCAGGCAGGGGCAGAGGGGTCAGAGGTCAGCCCTCCACCCCGTGGGCTGAAGGGGAGCGTGCTACAAATGCAATCGAGCATCAGTGCCACCGGGGATTCCTCCACTCCGGCTCCAGACGACCTCTCTCTGTAGGAGACGACTCCCATGCATGCTGAGAAGCTGAGCCGTCTCCACAGAGGCATTCGGTGCTGCTGATGACACATCAGAGAAAAGACAGGGATCTGGAAACAAAGCTCTCTTCACATTGTTCAGAAAATACTGGATTCTTCTTTTAAAAATATGTTTTTCTCATTGATTTCAGAGAGGAAGGAAGAGAAGACAGAGAGACAGAAACATTAATGATGAGAGAGAATCGCTGATCGGTTGCCTGCTGCACGCCCCCTCCTGGGGATCGAGCCTGCAACCCGAGCATGTGCCCTGACCAGGGAATCGAACCGTGACCTCCTGGTTCATAGGTCGACGCTCAACCACTGAGCCACACCAGCCGGGCAACATTTGATTCTTGAGTCCATAAAGCTAAGCTTTGAAAGGCACATCTAACCCCGTTCCCTTAGCCAGGAAGGGCTGTTCGTTCTCTGTATGCATTAAAGTAAGAGTCATAGATGAATTGTCAAATAACAGCCACAGTCCTGGGAACTTGAAAAATTCATCAGCCTGGAGTTTCGGGCTCTAAGTAGGTCTCCTTCAGGCAGAAACTCGTGTCAATGGGTCCCAAAGAGGGAAGAACTGGATTCATTTTAGAAACCGGCCTGGGACCCAGTGGAACCCCTTTCTCTCGGGGTCAATTCAAGTTGACCTTGGACCATTTCTACTTAACACTTCTGCCCACTAACAATGAACAAGCTGACTTTTCAGAAGCCAAAAAGCTGAGAGGAGAATCGCACCGGGAGGTTAAGAAGGGAAGCCTGATAATAGAGAAAATAATCCTGAAAATGTCGCGAGGAGTGGCTGGCCTGGGGGAGATGAGACCGGAAGTGGTAGGTAGGACAGCAGGGGGCAACAGCTGAAATGCTTGAAAACGCTAACGGCACAGGGCTTTTAAAATTTAAAATCAAACGCTAGAGAGTGAGAGTTAACTCCCTGACCCCGGGCGGCTCCTGGGGCACAGCGGAATCTGCAAGCAGAGCTGAGGGCAGGAGGCCGAAATTCCACCTGGGCTGCAATCCCAGCTCCCGAACCGGCAGTGCGACCTCGGGCGGTGGGCCAGCAGCACCCAGGAATACTAATCAACGCCGACTCCTGCAGGGAGGGAGGCGTGAAAGCGCTTAGGACTCAGCCTGGCCCAGGCCTGGGGATCGATGAGGACCGGCTAGCATTTGGGAATTGCTGACTCCAAACCCACATGGCAACGATGTTGTCAGCCTCGTGCTCTGTGAGAGGCAAAGGGTCCCTTGGTAGCCTTGGGACTGAGTCCCCAAAGGACTCCCCTTAGGAAGGCTGCGACATGCTCAGGGTCCTTGTGCCCGGAGCCGTGTGTAATTATTTAAATGAAGCACAGCAAGAAATTCGGTCACTCGGGGGAGGACGTGTATGAAAAAGTCCCGGGAATTACACCAAGTCACATCAAGGGCCCACTGAAGGGAGGTGTCAACGCGCATGGTCGACAGCCGGTGGGGATGCAAACACTGAGGACAGGCTCAGTGGGTGCGCGTCGACCTGGGAACCAGGACTTCCATTCCCGGTCAGGGCACATGCCTGGGTTGGAGGCAGCCGATCAATGACTCTCTCTCTCTCTCATCACTGAGCTGAGACAGGGGCTCCAGCAAACCCAGAGCACTGCTGCTGGGGCTGCCGGCGGGTGGCGGTGCTGTGCCTTCTCCCTCCTCTTCCTCGTCTTCTCCATCAGGAGGTCTGATTGGATCTTCCCACATATATACATAAGCGTCTGTGGAAGCTGTAACTTCTGTCTCTTAGAATGGGGGGGAGGGGGAGAGAGGAGGGGGGCAGCATACTTCTTCTGTAAGCGCCCAGAGTCCACAGACCCTGGGGTCTGTGTCAGCCTCAGTTCTCTCACGGTAGTGATGACACAGACAGAGGTAGTACATACATGTGTCCCATCACGAGGGGTGGGCCAGCCGTGTTTGACCCGTGAGTCATGTTAGCGGATCCCCATCTTACAGCCCGAGGAAGGTGCCTTCGGCCTGGGGAACAGAGGGAGGTGGTGCTGCCCTCCACGGTCTCAGCGGGGTGGCCCTTCGCAGAGGGATTTATTTTATTATTTCTTTAGCGGCACTAACTCCTGGGGAGGCCATCAGGAGGCTTCAGCTGCAGAAAGCTCCCATCTCCACGGAAACCAGACCTGGAAACCAGACCCGGGCGGAGGAGCTGCCGTGGGCACGCTTCCTGCCGTCCAACTGAAGGGCACAAACACCTGCTCCCCGAGCAGGCTGCACCTCCCAGGGGCTGGTTTCACTGCGTGTTTTTAAAAAGTGTATTTTTATTGATTTCAGAGAGGAAGAGAGAGAGAGAGAGAGAGAGAGAGAGAGAGAGAGAGAGAGAAAGAGAGAGAGAGAGAGAAACATCAATGATGAGAGAAGCATCGATCAGCTGCCTCCTGCACGCCCCACATTGAGGCTCGAGCCTGAAACCCGGGCATGTGCCCTGACCGGGAATAGAAACGTGACCTCCTGGTTCATAGGTCGATGCCCAACCACTGAGCCAGGCCGGCCGATGAGAGAAGCATCGATCAGCTGCCTCCTGCACGCCCCACATTGAGGCTCGAGCCTGAAACCCGGGCATGTGCCCTGACCGGGAATAGAAACGTGACCTCCTGGTTCATAGGTCGATGCCCAACCACCGAGCCAGGCCAGCCAGGCTCATTAAGTTGTATTACGTGGTTACAGGAAAGGAATCAAGGCCGCCAGCGACAGCCCGGCCAGCTCTCCTGTATCCGCATCCCCACACCGCTCCGCGGTCAGTGACGGCTCCTCTTGCTCTTGAGACACCCCCTTCCCGGCAGTAACAACCTTCGTGCCTCTCATTTCATCTGAACGTGTCCTTCTGGAGACCTGGGAGGAGACGGGAGACGATGCTGGTGTCACGAATGGGCCTGAGCGTGGTGGGCCTTCCTGAAGGGCGCATGTGGGGCAACATTCTGACTGTGGCGGCACGTGCTTGGGCATTTCCGGGGTGTCCCAAGCCTGCCGTGGTCTGTTTGGACACTGGTTCGCCTTCTGGGCATAACTACTGAGGTACCATCCACAGAGCATCTCCGTGCTGGTTGCCCACACGCACGTTTGTGTCTTGGAGAGATGACTTGCTCTAAAAACCACCTTTCATTCTTTCTCCTTGAAAGGCTTTCGTTGCCAGCTTTCAGTCTGAAGGATTTGTTTTTGGGTATGAAATCCATGCGGACGCCATCCGTGGCCCTGGGCTGAGCTGAGTCTCGGGCTGCTGACCTGGTCGCATGAATCTCCCACGATGAGCCGGCCGCTCTCTCCCGAATCTCACGTATGGTTCGCGCAGGGAACTGAACCTGTGCTGGCAGCGCTGACAGAAGCAGGACACGGGACAGTGCTCAGAACATCTCAGCTGTCATTAGAGGGAGCCTTCGAGTCGCCGGTTTG